ATTGCTAGAATTAAGTTGCTATCAACATTTGTTTTACAAACTTAGAAATTCAATTTGGGAAGATCCGTACGTCGGATTCCCAATCCGTCAGTTTCAACGGTCTTCAAATATTACATACTATAATGTATTAAGGTTTGGTGACTATCCAATGGTCGGATCATTGAATCATAAAATGGTCAAGTCGCGTAGTATTCTATACTAGGTTCAAACTATCAAACTATAGCAAACGAGTATCAAATTGAAATAAAAACATCGAATTTAACTTAAAAAGGTAGTGTCGGCCCACTGGCCATACGCCGCCCTGACTCACTGGAAAATCGAACAACTCGAAAAATTTCAAATTTTACAGAAGTGAAGATCTTAATGAGGGGAGCAACTTTCATACCTAGGCCGAAGTCCAATTTAACCGAAGTGGCCTGAAAATGCCTCGATACCACCGGAACCCTAGAAATGGGTGGGCTTCGATCCACCCTCTCCGATGCTCCGCCGTGCCAACCAAAGCTTAGGACTTGTTCTTGGGTTCAAAAGGAGTTGACCCATGGTGGTGGTCGACGGAGTTTGCTTCAAGAATGGCGGATCGCCGTCATGGGTGCCCTCGAAGCCATCGGTGCAAACTCACGAAACCTAGGCCTAAAATCCACTAATTAATGGATGAAAATGGAAGAGGGGAGGTCGTGGGATGGTTTCTAAGTGGTGGCGACGATTAATTAGCTGGGGAAACGCTGGAATCGGCATCAGGGTGTGCGGAACCGGGTCAAGGGTGGTCCAGTGCTCCTTCACTCTCTCCTTTCCCCTTCTTTCTCTCCTCTCTGGTTGGTCACTCTCTCTCTCTTCTATCTGATTGGGCATCCACCCTCATTTTCTCTCCTCCTGTTAGGCTGCAGCTTCCTCTGCTTTCTCCCCTCTTTCCTCTATCCATTACTCTCCTTCCCTCATTTCTCACAAAAATAATTTTAAAATAATAATATAATAATTATGAGAAATATGTAAAATAATAAAATAGTAATCTTTACAAAAGTACTTTTCGGATTCTTAGTTCCATAAAACCCCTATCGTAATTCAAGTTTCGATTTAGATTACGCTTATGCGATCGTCTCGTCGATAACTTCAAGAGTATGGTAAAATAATAACTTGCATGCGTCACTAAATGACGGTCAACGAAAATTAACAATCTCTATTGTAGGAGCATTTTCGTGAATTCACACTTTTAAAATTAATAAAATTGTTGAATTAGGGATAAGTTGTCACACCTGACACAATCCAAATTTTCACAATGCAAAGGAGAATGTATTGACATGACTTAGTAATTTTTTTAGCCTTGAATCTAATTATTTAGACTAGAAAACACAATAGTTAACTGACTTGCAATGTACGAGGGTTTCTTTTTCTATTAGAAATTAATAGTATTTTCCTTAGCCTTTGGCGTGAACCTTTCATGTGCGTGCTGCTTCCTCTAAACTCAAAACTCAAAAGGCACACAGGGAGAATTAAACCACATGCTCCACCGCTTGTGCAGGTTCTGTCAATTTCTTTAAGTTTCAGTTGTGTGATCGTACGCCCTAGGTGGAGTGTTTCTTGTGTTAGCTAAGCCCCTGGTCTGCATAAATTAAGGTTGAGCACCTATCGTTTAAAGAGAATTTTCAATGTGACTGATACACGAAGTGGTACAGAGAACTATTTCGTTTATATAAAAACACGTGATATATCATTTGTATTCCCGTCGTAATGAAAAACTTCTCTATCGTTTACGACATGTACTATCAGAATATCTAATCTGGTTTGCTGCCATGCTTTCACAATCTAGCGTCGGTAGGGACCAGAGAACTGCTTCGCTGCATTGAATTGGAGAAATTTTTGCAAGTGCCGGGAACACCATGACACATGGTGTTCCCTCACACATTAGGATTTGACATCTTGAATATCCTTCAATTTTATATTTCAATAAATAAATAAAACTAAATCCTAATGTGTGAGGGAACACCATGTGTCATGGTGTTCCCGGCACTTGGAAAAATTTCTCATTGAATTGGGGAGAGGGTTTAATGCATGACAAGACGTGTGGAAATTTGATGTTGGAAGAATCAATGAGCGGAGGTGCATCCAGGGTTAATATTGCTCTCTTTTCTACGAGACTAACTTCTCTTTTCAGTGGCAAACTTTTAATTATTTATTTGTTTTATACAACAATATATATTTATAACAGTGGAATAAACTATTACCTGAACTCGACAGGCACGAACTTTAAATTTCGCTTCCAAGTAAATTAAAAAAAGAATCGTATCAAACTTTTCTTCTAGCATTGGAATCATATCATTGGAAATTAGTGGTTGCTCGATTCCACCGCGTGGGACTGCACTAGGATGAATATTCAATATTACTCTCTTTCCCCGAGTCTTTCTTCGGAGGCAATTATTTATTTATTTTTTTGGCTTAAACTTTGAAACAACAATATATATTTACAACGGGGAATTAAATATTATATCGAACTTGACAATTACAAAATTCAAGCTTAACATATTTCACTTATAAGTTAAAAAAAAAAAAACAAAAACAAAAAACTACTAGACCGTATTATTAAGTAAAAATGTGATTTTTAATAAATAATTGACATTGCTATCTGTGCTTGTTTTTCTTAGTTAATGATGCTCTAAAGAATTTAAGAAAAGAGATGCCAGTATACATAATAAGAGTACTTTTACTTCCACTTATTGCACATATTTTGGGGTCTCATGCTAATTAATCTCAAGCATAATTGTGCCCGACTTTTATAATTTTATCATCAAAGTTGAGTAATTGGACCGTCATCTCCTATGCTATAAGATGACACCAACTAATAAGACAGTTTTCATTTTTTTTTTTTTCATAGGCGACAGTTGAAAATCATCGTTTAGATTTTTTTTTTCTTTAGAAAACTTCATTTTAATCTTAAAAAAGATGAGTTTTAGACTATAAGTTTGTGTAAGATTAAAATCTAATTTTAGTCCCTAGTACATTTAATCATCTCATTTATTAGTTATATTTTGATGTTTTATTTATCTTTTTATTCCTATTTTAATGTATTAATTACATTTAAATTTAATTTTCATTTCATTCATCATAATATATTTTAACGTCTACATTTAGGCAACTATATTTTTTTATAATATATAGTTTTTGTATCTTCTTCATTTAGGTACATTAATACATTTGAATATTTTGGTATCCATCGATACAAACATATAGGTACATTAATTCAATATAATGCATTTCGGTATGTACATTTAGGTACACACATTTGAGTTTTTTTTAGTACAATAATATATTTTACACTAAGGCGAGGGGGGTTCGGCTAAGCCGCAGAATGGACAACTTAAATTGGTATCGAATTCGCTATCCACAAGATTCGAACCTAATACCTCTCATTTGAGTATTGATTTTAGGTACATTAATTCAATATACTATATTTCGGTACATACATTTTGATACGTACATTTCAGTACGTACATTTTGATACATACATTTCGGTATTGACATTTAGGTACATTATTCAATTAATACATTTCGGTAAATACATTTAGGTTCATTATAATATATTTCGGTACAATCATGTAGGTACAATTATTTCGGTACAAAAAAGGCAATTTTATATATTTCAGCACAGTCATTTCTGTACACTTATGTATTTATATATTTTTGTATTACAAATTTCTTTTAATATATTCTCATTTATGTTAATTTATAATTAAAGAACTAAATATGTGCATATTAATAAAATCAAAATTTAATGTGGAGAGATTAAATAAAAATACACATTAAATAACAAAAAATGAATATAAGTTTTGATAAAAGTACACTACAAGGGATTAAATTAAATATGTAATCTAGCACCAGGTTTTTTTTTAATTTTAATCTTTTGCAAGAACTAATGTTCAATAACCCCCTTTTTTTTTTTTAATTCTGTTTTAATAGTGTACATTTTATCCTTTTCAATAAATTTCCTTGAGAAAAATTTCAAGAAATAATTAACAAAAGAAGGCAAATAATTCAACCAAGATTGGACACGTTAGAATTAAAGATTTGAGAGCCTGTACTGGTGGAATTGGAATCGGTCTTCCCACGCTATTGTTGACCGGAACCTTATAATGTTAAACAACAATGCTTCAAGTTGGTCGTTAAGGGTCGCTACCAAAGGTCCATTAATTTCTCCAATACACGTACACAATGACGTCCATTCATTTTTCTCATTTGGATGCTCCCTTTGCTGAATAATTTAATTAGTAAGTCAAGTCAATATTTGCCACTTGAATTGTCCTTATAATGTTAAACAACAATGCTTCAAGTTGGTCGTTAAGGGTCGCTACCAAAGGTCCATTAATTTCCCCAATACACGTACACAATGACGTCCATTCATTTTTCTCATTTGGATGCTCCGTTTGCTGAATAATTTAATTAGTAAGTCAAGTCAATATTTGCCACTTGAATTGTCTTTGTCTAATTTATAAAATGGAATTTCTGCATAATTATTTTCCACCACTGCAAGACAAAAATAAACCAAAGCATGCTTAGAACAAAAGGAATTGCAGAAACTATCTTCTTTCTAATTTAATTTCGAGAAATTGTTATTAGCACTTCAAAAATCTTATTTTACACTGCTCACAAGTGTATTTTTCTTTCTAATTATAGAAAGTTTGGAATGTCAATTGAGATTTTTGGAATACTAATAACAATTTCCTAATTTCTAACAAAAAAAGTAAGCTAAGCTAGTATCGTGGCCCAATTTACCTTTTTTTATTGTTCGGTTTTTTTTGTATTTTTCACACATTGTTATTGAATGATATTGACAAAGAAAGCTAGGGCCTAGATTACGTTGAAAAGCAGATGTTTATATTACTTCTTAACTTGCAGTGTTTTGTATCTCGATCCAGTCCTTTTCGAACAAGTGACTCTGCTTTAACTACTACAACTGTAATGCATACTTTTCTTCTGTAAAGGACAATTTTATGTGTGTATATATTCTTGCAGTGTTCCAGTCTTCTTCCAAATTTCCAATAACGGAGCCTAAATACTTTTTCCTTCTTCATTGTTGTTAAAGATGCAGGGTGAGGGAATTAGGTGCTTGAAACTATTCCATGCTTCAATATTTGTGGTGCTAATTTTGTTACAACGTTGCAACCATTCCCTATCCCTTGAATTCAATAATACTTTTTCAGGAGTAGTTGGCCTCAGAGATATTGCTAAGGTGCCGAAGCTGATCAGGTGCATACCAAGGGAAAGGGAAGCACTCCTTGCTTTTAAAGAAGGCCTCGCGCATACCAACAATAACCTCTCTTCTTGGGGAAGCGAAGCCCGAAAACAAGATTGTTGTGCATCATGGGAAGGAGTCTACTGCGACAAATATACCGGCCACGTTGTCAAACTTGATTTACATGGAAGACTTTCTCTTGGTGGTCGATTATCAAGTCAGGTTGGAAACCTTACCCACTTGCAATATCTCGATCTCAGTTTCAATGAATTTGCTAGTGTTGAAAGTTTCAATTTGTGGCTTCCTCGCCTTTCTTCTTTAACTTATTTGGACCTGAGTACTAGCAATCTCAGTGATGCTTATGACTGGCTGGAAGCAATTAATAAGCTGCCTAAACTTACAAACTTGTCATTGGCTGGATGTGGTCTTCCTTCTCCTCTTATTCATTCCAGTACTCTTTTTAACATAAATTCTTCAAAATCTCTTGCTCATGTTGACCTCCGTTTCAACCAACTTACTTCTTCAATATTTGTCATTGGCTGGTTGTCAAACTACAATGCCAGCCTTGTTCATCTTGACCTCTCTTACAACCGATTAATTGGTTCAATTCCCCATGTTTTAGGAAACATGAGCTCTCTTGTTCATCTTGACCTTTGTTCTAACCAATTAGTTGGTTCAATTCCCAATGTTTTTGGAAACATGAGCTCTCTTGTTAATCTCCATCTCTGTGACAACCAAATTAAAGGAGAGATTCCACCATCTTTTTCTAGGTTATGTAATCTACAAGAATTGAGCCTTTCCAACAACAATTTTAGTGGTCAGCTTTCCTGGTTGGATCAAATATTAATGTCTACATGTCCTAATCAGAACTCATTCAAGATTCTGGACCTCTCAAGCAATCATCTTTCTGGATCAATTCCTAATCTCACAAACTTTTCATTGTTGAAAGCATTAATTCTCTCTGAAAATCAATTGAGTGGAACAATACCCGAAATCATTGGGCAAATGTCTGAGCTCGAGATTATTTTGCTTAGTATGAATGCTTTGGAAGGGGTGGTTTCTGAAGGCCATTTTTCTAAACTCTCCAGATTAACAATTTTGGGTTTATCCTCTAACTCACTAGCTTTAAGCTTCAATTCTAATTGGGTTCCTCCTTTCCAATTGGATTACATATCATTGGCATTTTGTAAGATGGGTCCACATTTTCCAAAATGGCTTCAAACTCAGAAAAATTATTACACCCTTGATTTATCTAGTACAGGAATTTCTGATATCCTTCCAAGTTGGTTTTGGGAAAGACTGTCTCATGATGACGTCATTGACCATATATCTCTCTCTAACAACCGAATTGGAGGAATAATTCCAAATTCAAGTTTTGAGTTTCCCTCAATTTACCCTCCTAGAGTGAATTTGAGTTGGAACCAATTGGAAGGTCCAATCCCTCCATTCTTTTCCAAAGCGTCATCTCTCGATCTCTCCAACAATATGCTTTCAGGGTTAACTTCTTTCTTGTGTCCAAACAATGCAAGTACTGTAAGCTTTCTTGATCTCTCAAGCAACAATTTCTACGAACAACTTCCGAATTGTTGGATGCATTTTGGAAAACTAGCCTTTCTAGATTTGAGTGACAATGCTCTTTTTGGGAAAATTCCCACCACAATGGGCTCTTTAGTTTCAATTCAAACACTGAAGATAACCAACAATGGATTTGTGGGAGAATTGCCTTCATCCTTGAAGAATTGCACAAGCCTCGTATTCTTTGATGTTGGAGAAAATAACTTATCAGGAATGATACCTGAATGGTTAGGGGTTGGACTTCCAAATTTGGCTATCCTTATCCTCCGTTCTAATCACTTCTACGGAAGCATTCCATTGCAGTTATGTAATCTGAAGGACATTCAAATTCTAGATCTGTCGATAAACAATATCTCTGGAAGTATACCCAAATGCATCAACAATTTTACTAATTTGGCTGAAATGGGTAATTCAAGTCTAACTGTCTTGCATAAGTATGCAATAGTGAATGATTACTCAGCTTTTTATGTTGACGAGGCATCCTTGATATGGAATGGAATAATGTCCAAATACGAGAGTACTTTGGGGCTTGTCAAAAGCATTCATTTTTCAAGCAATCAATTAACTGGAGCGATTCCTAATGAAATCACTGATCTTGTTGGATTGGTTTCTTTAAACTTGTCAAGAAACAACTTAACAGGTCAAATAACTCCAAATATCGGGAAGTTGCAGTCTTTAGATTTGCTTGATTTGTCACACAACGAAATAGATGGTACAATTCCGACGAGTCTTCTTGGAATATCTGGCCTTGGTAAATTGGACTTGTCCAACAATAACTTGTCTGGAAAAATTCCCATGGGGTCTCGGCTCCAAACCTACGAGCCCTATGTTTTTGCCGAAAATCCTCTCCTTTGTGGAATTCCACTTGAAAGGATATGTTCTCCTGAGCAAACAACTCCGAATGAGCAACCGGCGGTTGAGAATCAAGATGAAGATAATGACGGGTTTATAACGCCGGGATTTTACATGAGTTTGGGGCTTGGATTTGTAGTTGGATTCTGGGGAGTTTGTGGGAGTTTGATTTTCAACAAGTCATGGAGATACACATACTTGAAGTTCTTGAATGGTTTAAATGATTGGCTTTATGTTAGGGTGACATTGATCAGGCGACAAAGAATGCTCGATGAATAAACTGTAAGTATTCTGTTGCATAATGAATAATATTGCAATTAACATGCATGTCCTCATCTCTTTTAAACTCCTGGCTAACGGTTAACGCCTGTGGTTTACCTGAATCTTTGTAGTTTGTTCATTGTCCTGTCTGGTACGACGTGCTAACGTTTTGGATTTCGGTTGGAGAAAGAGATTGAAGAAGATTTACAGATGTACAGATTGAAAAGCTCAACTGTTACTTGTAAGAATAAGATGAAATTTCTCCAAGTTCATAAGAGGGAGATGTATTTGTCACATTGTCCTATTGTAATTTTGCATATGATTTTCAATCTTTTCGAAATTGTTATTAAGTAATGGATAAGTAGAGAGTAGACTGTGTTCCAAACTGATAAATCAAGATTTAAGATTTAATTTTCAAGATTCGATCGTTTCCACAGTTCCAAACTTCGTAAAAGTATCATGAACTTCAAATGGATCTATTTTTCAAATCAAATAACCAAGTGCCAGAAGAAATTTAATATAAAACATTTACGACGTTGTTGTAAGGACTCATTTGAATCATCCCTAAGCATGGTATAGACTCTATTTCAACGTGGGAGTTTGGGGCTTGGATTTGTCATTGGATTCTGGGGAGTTTGCGAGAGTTTGATATTCAATAGATCATGGAGATACACATACTTGAAGTTCTTGAATAGTTTAAACAATTGGCTTTATGTTGCAGCAACGTTGATCTGGCGACGAAGAATGCTCGATGAATAAACTATAAGTATTCTGTCACATGATGAACAATATTGCAATTAACATGCATGTCCTCTTCTCTTTTAAACTCTTGGCTAACGGCTAATGCCGTGGTTTATCTGAATCCTTATAGCTCGTTCATCGTCTTGTTGGATTGCTTTCTTTAAACTTACCGAGAAACAATTTAACAGGATAAATAACTCCATGAATTGGGAAGTTGGCTTCACTACAGTCCCTCGATTTGTCAAGCAACCAAATTTATGGTAGAATTCCAACAAGTTTTCTTCAAATTTATGGTCTTGGTGATTTGGACTTGTCAAACAACAACCTATCTCGAAACATTCGCATGGGATCTCAGTTCCAAACCTATGAGCCCTCTAATTTTGCTGGGAATCCTCTGCTTTGTGGAATTCCACTTCAACAGTGTCTAGAAGAGCAACCAGTGTTCAGGGATCAAGTTGAAGAGAAGGATGGATTTATAACACCGGCATTTTATGTGAGTGCAGAGCTTGGATTTGCTGTTGGATTTTGAGGAGTTTGATATTCATCAAGTCATGGAGATGCACATACTACAAGTTCTTGAACTATGTATATGATTGGCTTTATGTGAGGGTGACGTTGATCAGGCGACGAAGAATGGTTGATGGGTAAACTATAAGTACTTTTCCGCATAACTATAGTGTACCATGATAAATATCAATTTGGTCTCTCTAATTGTCTTTAAATTTGTGACTAATATATGTTGTCAATCTTTTTAGCTCGTGCATCTACTGTTCGTAAGCGATGCTCCATTTCAGCTGGAGAAGAAGGAGATAGAAGAGTGCAGTTAGAAGTTATGATTTAGTCAAAGTGTTGTGCTTGATTAAGAGGCCTTTTTGTTTTTGCAATGACGTTATTTAGATTATCATTGAGGGGTTAGGACCTTTTTAACCCCATTTACAAAGTTTATCATTTTAACCTGGTTCAATAAATTTCCTTGAGAAACTTGCAAGAACTTATTAATCAAGTTACAATGAGAAAAGCATTCAGATAGTTCAATCAATACGTGATACAGTAACATTGAGAACATCGCAGAACTGGTCTTCCCACATCTTTAAAAAACTAAATCCTAACAAGATTAGATTCGGCCAGTGACCACCTAGTTGTTCGTTATGTATAGCTGCATTGTTAATAAAAGCACAAAGAATTTACAATATATGATCTTTCAACTATACCCTGTAGTGCAATATTCAATGTCAAAACAATTACAACACACAACGCAATATATCTCACAACAACAACAACAACAACAACAAAGCCTTATCCAACTAAGTAGGGTTGGCTATATGAATCCTAGAATTCCATTGCGCTCGGTTTTGTGTCATGTCTTTTATTAGATCCAAGTAGTCCAAATTTTTTCTTAGAGTCTTTTTCTAAGTCTTCCTAGGTCTTCCCCTATCCTCATTCCTAATCTTGTCCTTTCTCGTGTGCCCACACATCCAACAAAGCATTCTCATCTCTTCAACACTCATTTTGTGTACGTGGTGATGCTTCACCACCCAACATTTTGTGCCATAAAGCATTGCCCACCTTATTCCCATCCTATAAAATTTTCCCTTGAACTTTAGTGCCATACGACGGTCGTACAACATACCCAATTCACTCTTCCACTTCATCCATCCAGCTTGAATTCTATGATTGAGGTCTCCATCCAATTCTCTGTTCTTTTGCAAGATACATCCAAGATAGTGAAAGCGTTTGCTCGTTGGTATTTCTTGATCTCCAATCCTCACCTTTAACTCATTTGCACCTTCATTCCCACTAAACTTGCACCCCATATACTCTGTCTTTGACCCAAAGTCCTTTAGATTCCAACACTTCCCGCTGATAGGGATTTTACCACACACGCAAAAGGGTTAAAAACTCATATAATACTTGCAAGAATGACAAGGTTATTGTAGTATAAACGGATCTTGCAAAGTCATTCTCCACATGGATTATTAAATAATTCGAAGCAAACCAAATTCCAATTAATTGTAAAACAGAAATTTAGATGATTGATTTTATGACCTACTTAAATAAAACGAATTTAACTAATAAAAGTAAACTAATCTACAATATTAAAGATGAGAGGAAAGGAAACATTTTTGTAGAAATCAAGTTAAGAAAGCACTAAGGATCCGCCGTCTCCTTAACAATCCTATATAGTTCTCTCAATTACTTATGATCTATACGTGCATATTTCGAAGGTTAGGTTTTTCCTAATATATGCCTATTTGGACCCCCAATATTGTCACATCCCGACCCGGGCCGGATCACTTCCCGGGCCCGCTTCCACCACCGTAGCACGATATTGTCCGCTTTGGGCTTACCATTCCCGCACGGTTTTGTTTTTGGGAACTCACGAGCAACTTCCCAGAGGGTCACCCATCCTGGGAGTGCTCTAGCCCTCTTCTCGCTTAACTTCGGAGTTCCTACGGAACCCGAAGCTAGTGAGCTCCCAAAAGGCCTCATGCTAGGACCACTAGCGGGCCCGGGAAGTGATTCGCCCCGGGTCGGGATGTGACAAATATAGATCATATATGAAACATGCAATCCGTCTGTGGTATTCAGATCAAATCTAAACATGCATGACTCATTAAGTTTTGTGAAACCCTTTGAAAAAGCATGCAACCCTTAAGACATGGTATTCATCCTAAGTGAACTTGCACATATTAATCACAAGAAGCCTTCGTCAATTTCAGGGACCGACCTCCGACCAAAATTGCATCAACTTATTTTTCTAAACATCATAATAGTGATCAAGCATCAAGACAATTAGATAGTTTAAACCAGTGATTAATAATTCCAAAACCTGCATGCACACAATCATAAGCAAATTGAAAAGAAACTACATATTCTTGCTAAGGCTCGTGGCCTCACCCTAGCAAAAACGGATTTAGTTATGCATAATCATAATAAAAATTACAAAGTTCTTTATTGAAATAATAAAAGATCGAAAACACCTAGAATGGAAAAAATCTAAAAATCTCTACGCTTGGCCAATCTCCTCTCTTCAAGACCGCACGGAGAAGAATTGAAAACTAGGGCCGGCCAAGCTCTATTTAACCTAATAAAAATTAAATCCTCCTAATAAAAGGTCCTGAAATCCAACTAGGAAACTAAATACTAGAATAAAATAGGAAACATAACCCTAAATTAAATGATATATTCGCCTAAAATCTGAACACCCACGTTTTGGACCCTTAAACTGCTCCAAAACTGACCAATACAGCTGGATTTAATGTTTGGAATATTCTGAAAAATTCTCTAGAAGGCCACAAACCCATCAGAGGTCATAATAGGCTCCAAAAACGCAATTTAAGCTCAAAAATGTTATTTTCCAGCACGCGCACTGTTTCTTTATTCCATCACTAGAAAATAACCGCTTAGTAGAAAAATCCTAAATTTTGATACAAAACACGCCAAGAGACATACGAACGTCCTCCAACTTGAATCACTCCAAAATGCATCCGTTTGGTCATGTTTTTCTCTAGAGAAAGTCGGATGTCCTATACTGGAAATATAAAACAAAGTATCAAAATTCTACCAAAACATACTAAGAATAGGGTGAAATATATAATACGAAATTGACTCATCAAAATACCCCAAACTTAACTTTTTGCTTGTCCTCAAGCAAAATAAAACTAGAAAACTAAAATAAAAACTAACAAGCTAGAAACTTAACTAAAACTAAATGACAAAAATCTTCACCTTCAAAGTTGCAATCCATAGAACACGTTAAAAATTAGAACATCTTTTCAAAAGTTTCAACCAATCCCACCACAGAGTCTAAGCCATTTAGAATCAATTAGAAAAGAATTCACAACGTAGCTAAGGAAACTCGACTAAAACCCTTACCCCTTGTCTTTTTATTTCACACATACTAAATTTAAATATAATTATTTCTTTTTCTTTTTGATTTTTTTTTCTCTTTCATCTTTCATATATATAGATTATATATATATATATATATATATATATATATTCAGTAACAACAGTGGTCATGCAATGTCAGTTCACTTAAGCTTTCAATCCAACCCATGTAGCGAGCTTTAAGTCAATGGCTCCAAAACCATAAGGGCTTTAGGGCACTAGGTGTAGAACACCCCTATAGACTTACTAACTCAAGATGAAAAGGCTACAAAATCAACTAACCACCCTGCCCCATGCCAAAACTCTACCATTTGACGTGAGAATCACTGGTGATTAGGTAAGACTGGCCCGGTTACTAAGCAAAGCCTTGGATCTGGCTACTCATCTTATTGTTTGCGAATATTTGCTATGATTCGAGGGCTCCTCATACAGATACAAACACATGCATGGGTTAGAACTTGCTACATTTCACTGAAACAAATACACCTGAAACGAAAGTCACAAGATTTGAGCATGGTTTCACCTTTAGCACCTCCAATCTTCAGCTAGCTCTACCATGGATGGGTTCTCGAGTCACGGAAGCTCATGTATGTTGTTGGGTTCTTGGTTAAGGATGCAGAGATTAGCGAGATCAAGAAGCTACTGTGAGATGGAAGGTTTGAAAGAATGGGCACTGGGCTTAAGGTTGGAGAACATGGGAAGAGCTCTGAGAGAGAAGTTTTCTTTTCTGATTTTGCAGAGAGAGAGAGAGAGGGTTGCGAGAGTTTGAGTTAGAGAAATGAGGGCCA